AGGCGCTCGGTAGATGTGCATCGCTACTAGGAGCAAGATGTGATACACTTCGATAAAAGCATCGATATTCTTTGATAAAGACCACAGAAGCTCACGTTCCAGGAAACAAGTCAAGATCAATGTCAAACCCCAAATCTGAAATGCATGAGATCCGTGTGGTTTGACATGATCCATGTTCGACAGCCAACATTTGCATCCTGTGTCCCTGGCCAAAAGTACTGCTGGTGTCACAGTCAACTGCACTGCGTCCGCCACGTCGGCTCTGCTGCGGAGGGCTCCCTGTTCGGTATTCAGTCAGCCAAGCCCATTTGAAAACTCAACTTCTGAACACTTGTTTTACATGTGCAAGACAAAACATACCAATGAAGGCAGAAAAATGGCAATAGGTTTGATATCATGTGGTGCTAATTTGGTTTTCAGTTATTCTACCGATTGGAAAGATATCTTTGCGATTCAAAGTGTGCTTTTGTGATTGCACAGAAGCTGCTTACTGGCACAGCAACAAGCATAACATTATGGACCGTGTGTTTTTGGAACAGGGCGAAACTTGAAAAACACAAGAGAAAATAATGACAAATCTGTGGATTCCAGACTTCCAAAACCCTGTGAAACTAGCAACTTTCCGCAAAGGACTACTCAGATTGGGGATGCATTTCCCTGGAAAGCCATACGCAGCTTGCTTTCGGCTTACAAGAGAAAAGCAAAAACAAAAGTACAAAGTCGTACAGACGCATTATCAGTCGACATGAGTGCCAGGATCAAGCAGCCATTCTTCGGAATACCATGGAATACCCATGTGGAACGGCAGTACTTTTTCGGCCGATGGGTGGGCTGAAGCATGGAGAACTTTTTGAACTTATCCGTGGCAGCGCCGCTCTGGGAAAAGACATGTTCCATCTAGAAGCACTGGGACCTAATCCAAACTGGACGTTCAAAGGCTTGGTGGGCCCACAGCCGCACATTTATCAAAAAACTGAGTAGGGCTTCTCTGGACCTATATAATGTATTTGTGATATATCTGTTCGAGTCAGAATACAAAAGACACAACAAGCAGTGGACCCCAAGATCACTCCTACATGGATTCAGACCAAAACGGTCAACAGCTCACGCCATGTATACAATGATTGGTCAGAGCAGAAGGGAATTGATTCGTTCATGGCACTTCTTGATTGAGAGAAGGCTTTTGACAGCATTTGGCAAGGCACATTTAACTGGATGTATAGACTTGCACTTGGACTGTCGGACCAGGTCGTCTCAATAAACAAAGCTCCGTGCTATGACTAGTCACCGACCTTTTGTGCAAGACGACTACGGGCTTCATCGAAAACAACAGAGCACTGAGAAGCGACAAGCAAGTCCTTTAAGTCCTTACGGGTGTGTGTTCGTAATGACATCAAAGGGCTGGCCGTTGGTTCTTTTGGTCTGCTGTATTCTCGGTGAGACTTCTGTGCTGAGGTCTAATGGTTCAGGTCCTTCCCAAGTATGTGGGATGTGATCTGGAATGAAAACAAACGTGCGCTACATATTTATGGAGTTATATTAGCCTGTATTGATCTGTAGGGTTCCAAGCAGCCTTCCATGTGTTTCAAATGGTCATTGAGACCTTGCACCTTTGTCGAAAAGGAGCAAAATCGTGTGATTTGTAGACCAGTATGAAAGTCGACTCCTAAAATTCGAGCATGTGTCATGTCACTGGAACATCTGAGGAACAGGCTGAATACAAGAGTTAAATAGAATTAACCCTAGTGTTAATGCTTTAACTTTTACCCCTGTTCAACCTGTAACTCTAGAAGAATTAACTCTGGAGATAATTCTGTCAACTTTGCCACTTGTGCAAATAGAGAATTGATTCTGGAGTTAATTGTGTTTCACTGCGTCTCCTTGCGTCCTTCTCATTGTCTATCTCTTTCGTTTCTTTTCTTGACCTTTACAGTAGTTGTGTTGATCTTTGATTAGAAAGATAAGAAGGTGGGAAAAAGTAGCCACCAAATTGAGCTCTGGAGTTGGATATGTTTAAATCAGTCTCCTGGTTTCCTCCTGTTTTGTCTTTTGCTTCTCAACCTGTATGTGGCTTTATTCAGTTGCTATTCAGCCTCTTCGTGAACTTGCTGCGTACTATCGTAGTGGCGATCCATCATGCAACCATCTTGTAACCAAACCTCACAATCACAGTACAAGAAAAGACTCACAAGTACATCAGACAAAGAATTCACTCTGAATGAACTTCCTTTTCAAGCAGTACAGGTGGCAGGAAAGGAATTAACTCTGAATGCAATTCTTTTCAAGGGGTCCAGAAGGGGTCCGATACAGAAAGAAACAATAAAGAATTAACTCTGGAATTGTTCCTGGAAGAAGCAGGAGTGACAAAAAGAATTAACTTGGGAGTCAATTCTACGAAGGCGCGTGCTGATCTGTTCCCCAGGACAAAGAATTAACACCACAGTTAGAAAATAACTCTGGTATTCACTCCATTTCAACATCTGAAAATAACATAAGCGTTGACTCCAATGTAGACTGTTTCAAAAACTGCGACTTCTGGTTTAGGACGCCGTCATCAAAGATTATCTACAGTCTTGAAACCATTTATGTAGGATTTTTTAGGCTCCTTCCACTTGAGGGGGCTGCACCAGATTCTTGGACTATCCGCTACACATGTGCAGGTGTGAATGGCCTTTCCCAGTGAGCAGCGGACTGTTAGACGGTTTGCTGAACTGGATGAGCAAGTACTGAGAACTGATAGGGACCCTCACCGATGGATCTATAGCTTTAATCGTTGTGGCATTAACACTGAAGGGAGGATACCGTGTATACCTGTATCATGTATTGTATATATTATATATGTGCATATAAATGTGCATATCATATATATATATATATATCACTTTCTTTTAGATTGGGTACCAAATGACGGACATTTTGTGGAGTTTGGCGCATGAATGGGGAGTCACTATTCAGGCACAAGAGAATTGTGGAGAATCTTATCCTAAATCAAACATAGTATAGTCATCCTCGTATTTGTTCCATAGTTTGTTCCCATCTCACTCTGCTCTCATGAATTTGATTTGTCCGGTCCTATCCAATTTCTGCGCTGGTTAGTTACATTATATACTCACACCGACTCTCCTTTGGCTACTCTTCCTTTCAAAAAAAGTATCTGGCAAAAGGAGTGTGATGTAAAGCATTGGTAGGAACAGGCGACCTAACTACAAAGACCAGGAGCTTCCTACCAAGAAAGCCAAAACACAAAAAAGAGAAAACCGAACATGATGAAGGAATGGGTCTTTTTAGACAAGACTTGTCCGAACGTGTCTAAAATCTTCTAGGATCGGTGCCGATCAATCCTCAGTCTTGCATCTGGTCTAGAGTCTGAGTCCACTCCTTTCTTCACTCCTTTCGTTTGCCAGATCAGTCTCCAAAAAGGGAACAAGTGGTCAAACATCAACAGACAAGAAATCGGTCAGCAAAAGGCAAGCCAATGGAAAGGAAACAACATGTTGGGCCAACGGGGGGGTTAGCCCCGCCGGCAACATATATCCGATCCGTTGACTGGTCTTTCGGGGTGGGGGGGGGGGGGGGGGGTTGGGGTCAGCTTCGTCCGTGTTACTACTCGCGTACATCGACTTTGACGTTGATTTGTCGACTCGGTGACCTTTCGTTCGCTGGGTAACCGCTTTTCTTGGCTTAGAGGACATGACGGGCTCGACGTTCGAGGTTTGTTTTGCACTGCGTAGAAGGGGTCTTCTTGGCCATTGCGATGCAAAGCTGCAACAACAGCACGTTGAAGGCCTCTCAGCATTGTGGTTCCGCCAACATCCAGGGTTGGACTCAATGCTCGAGGCTGTCAGAATACATAGAGAAGCTGTGCAAGACACTTGCCCGCCAGCTCAAATGTACAGTGAGCTCAAATGGCTCAATTGGGAACAAGACTGATGTCTGGCAGCTGGAAAATGAGCCTTGGCAAGCTATATATGGAGCAGGCGGGTGGGTTGGGTCCGTCAAAACGCACTCAACCTTATCATGTTGCAACTCATGAGTTGCAAGACGATAGGTTGAGTGTCCGGAAAGCCACCAAGCCCTGTAAAACACACGGTTTTTTCACCCTCGGTGTGTTGCATTCGGGGCTAACCGCCCCCCGTTTACCCAACATGTTGCAGAAAAAAAGGAGAAAAAGTCATCAGTGGTTTCAGGAGGAAAAGAATTGAAGTTTGTATCAGGAAAACAACAAAGGTGTAAGGATGAGTTGGGATAAAACAAAATGAAACTTCCACAATAAGAGACTAGGGGTGGAGCAAGTCGAAGCTTTGCAACGTTAGTGCGTAGTAGATTGAAAGCTACATGAACTCAAAACTGTTGACTGTGGTTGAGCAAAAAGATGCAAAAACATATATAGATGTAGTAAAAACACAACAAGTTGGATGTCCTCGCCAACATTGGCTTCACACATCAAATGAGCCACGGTCAAAACGTGTTATTTGTCTAAAAGAACGAGCATTATCGGTTTTGATTTGGACCTTATCGTTTTTCAGTGTTGTGAGTTCGCCACATACTGATGGTATACAGTGCTGGGGGTTATCGGTTTTGGAGTGGATACAGAGTATGATGGCGTACCAAAATCACAAAGAGCAAAACAGACTCGGATGAGTCCCTAACACCAAATTGTCCGAGCACCAAAAGCATGTCAAGGAAAATCGGTCGTCCGTGCGCTGTCGTGCCTTGATGACAGCCGTCAAAGGGGACAACACCTGGGCAACACGATCTTGGTGCTCTGGATCTCATCCACATCCAAAACTTAAGCACCAAGAGTTGATGCACCAATGAAACCATGAAACCTCCCTGAGTTGAAGAGAGCCAACAACATACAATAAATTACCTAATTAATCCCAAGATCTCACAAATACACTGGCACGACAAAGGAAGCGACCGTATCAAAGGCACGCCCTTGGCTTTGGGGTTTCTCTGCGTTTCCCTCACAATTGACTCGCTTTTTTCAATCGCAACAATCAGTGTCTCAAGGCCCGCTTCACTGCATACAACACGTGTCCTTCACTCTGCTTCCCAAGCTGAAGGAGCTTCTCCCTAACCTGTCTTGCAGAAAGAGACCGTGGAAACGCAATGAACATGATCAAGTGCTTGAACTGCTTGGTAACATGGCTGGCGGTCTTCTTTGATTACCTTCAAGTGAGATGTCATTGCAGATAACCCCGGTGCTCTTGAATCTTGGTACAGCGGCCTGATCGCGGTACCTCAGCAGCACCTTCTTCTCAGCAGCTGGGGCTGCTTGCACATCACGCAGCAGGGCAGCACGTAGTTTGGCAAGCTCCTATCACTGTGACAAGACGGCCTCAGAAATAGAACTTCAGAGTTCCCAACAAAGAGACAAGCCTTGAGAAAAAATTGAAGACATTACAGAAGTGTCTTCCTACTTTTAAAGAGATTCAGATGACTAGGTCAAGGTCAGTGTGTGCAAGCAAAGCTGGTTGTCCTGTGGAAGGGCCCAGTGAGACCATGAGAAACATGAAACCACTTTGTCTAAGTGTACAAAGTATACATTTTGTTTGGGGAGGCGGTGCAAGCACTAGGCCATGAAGACTGCGGGTAGGATAGGCGAGGTAGGGTAGGCAGCTAGTCGGAAGTTGCACTGAGAAAAAGGACGCAAGCTAGCTGTTAGAACATGCAAGGATGTAGATGTTTCAATCAAACTTCTCCCGCTTGATTGCTTCCTGAATCCGCATGGTCGAAATGGGATCTAGATGTTTCGAGAAAACCTGAGGATGAAGTTGTGAACAACTGATCATCTCCTCCACACGGCCGACGGTGGCATAGCCTTTGTCGCCCAAGGCTGTTTTGGCTGCTAAACGTACTCGAGCAGAATCAGAGAGCCGGCGCATCCTGAGTGTGAACAAAATATGATCTTGCAAGCTTTGACCGAAGTAGCGATGTTTTTCCCACTTGGTTTAAACTGTGTCTATGAACAGCTTGAAATCTCTAATTCCACTATTGCAAGCTAAGTGATACAAACACCTCTGTCAGATCCAACTATACTAACACCCTGCATAACTGCACAGTAGCTCTCATGAAGAAACCTTTCGCTTTACATGCTTATATGATATTGTATACACTCTTTTGACTATTGAAGCTCAGGCTTCGGATTTTTTACGCTTCTTGCTTAAACTTCACCGCATCGTGGACGGATTCCCTTTTTGGCTGTCAAGACGCAACTCCACCTTCGGACGCAAGGAGGAACTCAAAGGGCGCTGCAAATGCAACCAGGCAACCTTTGAGCCGTGGGCACGGCGCTGAAAAAAGGATTGAAAAGGTTGCTTTTCTTTATTCTCCAGATAGCTGAAAGCAAAGCATCTGAAAGCTATAGCTATAGGGGTTCATACTTCTCAATGACTGGGTGGCTGATGGGCGTTTTGGTCCACAGCTGCCGCTGCTGCCTTGTCTCCCCACTGTCTCCTTGCATGTCTCCCCAGTGGTCTGCCTGTGTTGGAGTCACTTGGAGAGGCACTGTTGGGCTCACTCAAGGTCGGAAGCTCAAGCTCGCTATTTTGTTCTGAATTACTTGATTTTTGGTCTACCAGATGTCTATAGCCTATAGGTCTCTGGTTTTAGAGTTAGTTGCTGTCTGGGGTACATACCGGTGTAATGTTTTTCCGGGCTTCAGTATCTTCCATCAGAAAATGTTGCAAAGTTGAAGACTCCCTGAGTTAGGATAGTCTTAGTCGTATGTCATAGCCATAAAAGAACGCTTGTGCCTTCACCTGTCCCTTTTCGATGTCTCTCAGCGACTCGCATCTCTCATCCGCTTCACTCCGGTGCACAACCGACGCCTCTTTTGGTCTCTCAGTTCTCTCTCGTCGGCCACTTTGTCCGATAAAGAAAGCTTCAACCTCTCGTTCACGCTGCAAATGCTCGACGACTTCGCTTGGGACCCGAGGGATCACCAAATGCACAATGCCAAGCACCAAGACCTGGAACATTCAGCATTCCACTGGAGTTCGACTCATCGTATGGATGTGTCTCTGATGGATTCTGCAGTGTTCCGTGTGCCTGTTTGATCATGCCTTCCAAGCATGTTCCTGCGCCTTTGCGACTGCTTCGACTTCGTTTGGGTGCGGCACACAAAGCGACGGAACAAAACAGAGAGGTTTCGTTCAGACCAAGACTGCCAAGTGGCCATAAGTAGCATGGCAGTGCTGAAGAAGGCAATATGCACGGCCGGCCCCTGTCCGGCAAAGCGAACTACCTTGCTACTAGTAGCTTCTTGCTAGTAGCAAGGTGCCTTACTACTACTAGCTTGTTACTTTACTAGTAAAGCACCTGACCTTGCTATTAGTAGCACTCCCGACTCAGAACAATAGAACCACCCAAAGGAAAACACGCGTGCATGAGCCTTTCGTCATGGCGCCTCTCCAAAGATATTGACCACCAGGTTGGTGCGAAAGGCGACAATTGCCAAATTGAAGAGCCTTTTTCAAAGGTTTTCTCTGTGCAAATAGGACATGTGTGAATCAACGTATCAAAGTCAGCTTGGAGACGCTCCCACGTAGACATAGGACTGAAAGATGGCCATCCAGGCTTCAGGCAATCCATGTCCAGCTCGTGGCTGAGGTTGTCTTCGATCTAAAAGTTGAAAGAAATCCATCTGGAATTCGACCAGCAAGTGCCTTAGTATTTCCATCCCCGTGCAAATTCTGGGGGTCCATACCCCCAATTTTTAGATATAAAACGGTGGAGCCAACCCCCAGAGGTACTCTAATTTGAATAACCTGACCTCCAGAGCATTTACATAAAATGACCTCACCTGACGTTGAATTTCATATGTGACTGATCACAAATCAGTGGTACTGAGTGCTTGACAAAGCGCCTTTTTCTTTTTCAAACGCCAAGTATGTCTGCTTGGCATCCCAAAAGCTTCCAAGTATGTTTTGATCTTTGAAGATCTTGGTCCCTAACATTTTATTATGATGTTTCTTGTTGCTTCCTCTGGCTTGCCGTTTTCCTGGTGCTGAAACTCCAGTGGAAACGCAGCGGCGACTTTCCGGATATAAGACGCTCATGTCAATCGCTTGTTCAGCAACGTGTGTATGTGAACTCGGACGCAATGCTTTTGTTCCAAGTCCACAAAGGCATGGGGTCAGTGAACCTGGATCTGTAACAAGCTGAACAAAGCAAACTTCGAGCTCGACCCACAAAAGGGAGGAAAAACACAAAGACCCAATTCGCTTGGATCATTTAACACATCCCCTTCAAAATCCCTTGAAAGCTGAACAGCGTGCAGCAAAGTTGAAACACTTGGGATGTTCATCCGCACGACAGGCGCGCCGACTGGCCTGTCCACCCCGAGGATGAGCATCCCCAGGGTGGTGTGGGCGGGTGCTTTCAACCTGGCGATACGTCGAGTGGCGACTTTTCGCCAAAATGGCAGCGATACAATCGCACTAACTGAAAAA